TCATTCTACTCCTGTGACAGAGACCTCTTTGCTGTTCCTGGAACATACCAGGCACTGTCCCCCTTAGGGCACTTGGAATTGCTGACTCCTCCATCTGGATCTCTTTTCCCCGATGCTGCACAGCTTCACCCTTTTCCTCCTTAGGTCTTTGCTCAGAGATCACCTTCTCAGGGAGGCTATTCCTGACCCATCTGTTTAAAACCACAACCCCCATTCCAACACCTTCAATACTTCTTACCCCTTTCTCTGTTTGATTACTCTACATAGCACTTATCACCATGAAACAATATACTTATTTGTTTATTACACTTCTAGATATACTTATTTGTTTATTACACTTCTATTTTGCTATTATAAACTCTTGTGAGGGCAAGGATGTCACTTTTGCTCACTGCTGTTTCCCTGCCACTTAGAATAGTTGTATATAACAAACATTCAAGAAGTCTTTTTTTATTATAAAGTTTTAACTCCTGGGCTCAAATCATCTTCCCACCTTGGCCTCCCAAAGTGCTGGGATTACAAGCGTGAGCCTCTGTGCCAGGCCCCAGAAATCTTTTGGAATGAATAATGTGACATTTCAACAAAGCTGTATCATCTTAAGATGCTTCAGAGTAATCACTGTGAACAATAATTATGATACACTTAAATACTGCCTGGTTTCAGGTAATTCCCTAAAAGGCGCCAGTCTGAGACTTTTTTTAGACTCACTGAAAAACTCAGAGTGCATACAAAGACTACCACTCAAGGACACAAAAGTTGTAAAATGAGGCAGTTTTTCCAGCCTTGAACATAAATTACTGGACTGGAAGAAATCTCAAAATGGTCCTCCTCTAAATGACGTCCTACCTTCAGGCAGCCTTCACTGATCGACTGCCCTGTTTTTTTCTTAGCACCCCAGAGAAGGAGCTTTGTTGATCTCCTGTGCAACCTGTTTTGGGCATCGATAACAATGTTAATTCAAGCCAGAGTTTTGCTTGAGCCCCAGAGGTCAAAGCTGCAGTGAGCAATCTCACCACTGCACTCCAGGCTGGGTGACAGTGAGAGGCTGTCTCAAAAAAAAATAAAGGTCAGCGCCGGACGCGGTGGCTCACGCCTGTAATCCCAGCACTTTGGGAGGCCGAGGCGGGTGGATCACGAGGTCAAGAGATCGAGACCATCCTGGTCAACAAGGTGAAACCCCGTCTCTACTAAAAATACAAAAAATTAGCTGGGCATGGTGGTGCGTGCCTGTAATCCCAGCTACTCAGGAGGCTGAGGCAGGAGAATTGCCTGAACCCAGGAGGCGGAGGTTGCGGTGAGCCGAGAACGCGCCATTGCACTCCAGCCTGGGTAACAAGAGCAAAACTCCGTCTCAAAAAAAAAAAAAAAAGTCTAATTATATCCATTAGCCTGGAACCAACATTAAAGGTTAACTGTAATAAACTTTTTTGTTTTGTTTTCTTTTGTTTTGTTTGTTTTGAGATGGAGTCTCCCTCTGCGCTAGGCTGTAGTGTAGTGGCTCTATCTCAGCTCACCGCAACCTCTGCCCCCCAGGCTCAAGGGATTCACCTGCTTCAGACTCCTGAGAAGCTGGGAGTACAGGTGTGTGCCATTACGCCCAGCTGAGTTTTGTATTTTTAGTTGAGACCGGATTTCACTATGTTGGCACTAAACTCCCATCACTTTGTGGGCAAGCATTTGAAAACAACTGATCAGAATTAGTGATCATGAAATGAAGACCCTTGCAAAGCCTTAGCACAATTGGTTCGACCAAAAACTACAAATTAGTTGACGCTGTATTATCACCACACTTCGTCCACAACTTTCAGAAAATAAAGTTAACATTTGGAAGTCACAAGGCTGTTAAGTGGCGGTGTCACCGACTGGTCCCGATGTCAAGTTGGACAGTCCCTCCCCAACACCGACTAGAACGTTGTTAAAACAACCGGAAAACAATTCCATAATCCGAATTTCTTAACTTCCAAGGAAACAAAGCTGTCTTTCCAATTCAAACAAAACGTCCCCGCTAGGCAGATATAAAGAAAAACAGCCGGCAGGGGGCCGTGGCTCCCGCCTGTAATCAATCCCAATGGGAGGATCGCTTAAAGCCTGGAGATCGAGACTAGCCTGGCCAACATGAGGAAACCGCGTTTCCACAAAAATAAAAGAACAAAACAAAGAAAAACAACGATAAATAAACTTTACAGATTTAAAGAGAAGCCACGACCACAGGTTTACAACGAGTCACCTGCGCCAAGAAGCCGCACCCGAGACTCCGCGGGCGGGGAGGGTGGGGTCTGGGCGCCAGCGCTGACCGCCCAGATGAAGGCCGCGCCAGGCCCCTGGCCTCGCCCGCCCCTCCGCGTCCCGGCACTGGCGCTCGGCTCCCACCCAGGCGTCCGAGTCTGCAGGTACCCGCGGCCGCCGAGGCACAGCGCATCAGCTCTCGCCTCCGCCGCGGCCCTGGCACCGGCTCGCCGCCTCCGGACCCAGCCCCTCTGCGCACCTGGCCTCAGCCGGCGCCGGCGGCCGTGATGCCCTAGGCCCGGGATCCCGCACGGGCCCCGAACCCCTTGCACGGGCCCCGAACCCGAGGCGAGCGTCGCTCCCTCCCGTGTCTCCACGACTTTCCGGCAACCTGCACCTTCTCGACATGGCGGACGCTCCAAGCAGCAGTGAGTCCAGGTCCAGACCTACTCGACACGGCCCCGGGCGCAATAACCACCTGCAAACACCGGCAATCTCACTCCGGGTAGGCGATTCGAGAGCCGCTGAGCCCCGCAAAATTTCAAGTCGCGCCACGGGCGCAAAGCCTCACTGCGATTGGTTTCGCATCCTGTCGCTCCTCGAAAAGCCCCGCCCCTCGGGCTGCAGTTCACAAGGGTGCAGTCGGGGCGGGGCCTCGAGAGTCCGGCCTGGAAAGCGTTGGAGCGGCGGCGGGGGATGACGTCACTGTCTGTGCGTGGCGGGGCGTGGCCGCAGCTGCAGCCTCAAGGGACTCCCCTCCCGAGCCAGCTGCGTTGTCCGAGCGCCGCCCCGCCCCGCGCCGTTTGGATTCGTTGGGCGCGGGAGTGGAGGGAGTTCAGAGCGCAGCGGCCGCCTGGATTCCCTGAGTCCCGGCTGCCCGGAACCGGCGCGGGGGTGAATAGGAAAGTTAGCTTCTAATTTCCTTCGCTCCTCCAGGAAGCGAACCTTGGAACTGATCTTTGGTGCGAATCTTCTCCAGATGTAGAAAGCCATACATTAAAGGGGAAGGGAAGGAACATTGAGCCCTGATCGCGGGCCTGGAACCTTTAGTTCTCCCGTTTAAGCTCCATAATCCTATATGGCAAGTATTGTCGCCATAGCAGAGGAGGAGACTAAAAAAGATTTGACACTACCAGTGCTGGTTGAGCGCGGCACCTCACACCTGGAATCCCAGCACTTGGGAGGCTGAGGAGGGTAGATCCACAAGGTCGGGAGATCCAGACCATCCTGGCCAACATGGTGTAACTCTGTCTCTACTAAAAATACAAAAATTAGCCAGGCATGGTGGCAGGTGCCTGTAATACCAGCTACTCAGGAGGCTGAGGCAGGAGAATTGCTTGAACCTGGAAGGCGGAGGTTGCAGTGAGCCGAGATCCCGCCGCTGCACTCCAGCCTGGATGACAGAGCGAGACTCTGTCCCAAACAAAACAAACTTAGCAATGCCTTCCCTCCCGCCACCATATTCTCATGGAATGGACCTGGGCTGGTTGCCAACCCTGAGCTGAGCCAACATGGTGAAATCTTGTCTTGACAAAAAATTAAAAAATGAGCTGGGCATGATGACTCTTGCCTGTGGTCCCAGCTATTTGGGTGGCTGAGGTTGGAGGATCGCTTGAGCCGGGAAGCGGAGGTTGCAGTGAGCCAAGGTCATGCCACTGCACTCCAGCCTAGGTGACAGAGGGAGACTCTGTCTCAAAAAAAGAAACAAAAACTGGGCTGGAGAGAGAGGAGACCAGAGGGCTGGAAATAGCCCAGTGGGCTGCCTCCCACTCAAGGTCTAGAAGGAATTTGAGGCCTTAAGGTGGGTGTAGAGGTTGAAGCATGGGCACATCCAGCCAGGCTTCTTAGTTTCAGATCTTTGCTCAGGCCCTGCGACCTTGGGCCTGGTACATGACCACTCTGTGCCTCAGTTGTCTCGTGAATAAAATAGGGATGCTGCGTAAGTGGCGATACTGTTGTGTAGGGCTGTTGTGCAAATTAAATTATATTTGAACAGCACATAAAACATTAGCATGGATTAAGTGCTTCATAAAATCAGCTGTTATTGTTAGAGATGTTTCGTGTTAAGCGGCTGTTCCAACCAAAAAGCTATAATGTGTTCGGCAGGGAAGTCGAGAGCTACACGTGGCTTTCTACAGGACCTGCTGTGGGTGAGAGGAAAAGGGCACAAGCCGGCCCAGGGGTGGTTTTGTTTATTTATTTAGAGACAGGGATTTCACCATGTTGCTGAAGCTAGCCCCGAACTCCTGAGCTCAAGTGCTTCACCCACCTCAGCCTCCCAAAGTGCTAGGATTACAGGCATGAGCCACGGCACCTGGCTCCAGCCGAGTAGTTTTGAAAGGGAGACCATTGGGGCACTTCCAGGGACACATCTCTGAAATGAGGGACAATTTGGCAGCATAAGAATGAAAGTTGAAGGTTCAGTGAGGGACTTAAGGGGTGACCTGAAGGTATCGAGGGGACGGGAACCTAAGAGAAGCCCCTGGGGCCAGAGGGGAAGCAGTTGGCCTGGAGCGCTACCCTGGGTAGGCTGGCTTTGGTTGTCCCCAGGAGCGGATGGGACGGGATGGGGAGGGGAGTTTGGATGGATGCAGGGGGTTCCCAGTCTGTTAATGTGTCCTCTTGATCTCTTTCAGAGACTGGGGATATCTATATCTGGGGCTGGAATGAATCAGGGCAGCTGGCCCTGCCCACCAAGAGCCTGGCAGAGGATGAGGAGACCGTTGCAAGGGAAGGTGAGGGTCAACTCGACTCCCACAGCTGCTGCCCCAGGATGTGGCTGTCATTCCTGACTCCTGGCTGAACGCTGGCCTGAGAGCTACATTCTCAGATGGAGCATGCGAGCCCTTACGGGAGGGAGCATCGGTAAGGCTGATGCCAGCCTTGGCACCACACTTGTGCAGGAGTGCAAGACCTGCCTGCAGAACGCTGGGGTTGGGAGCACCAGCTTTGGAGCTAGACAGTCGTGTGCCTCAGAGCTGTTGTGGTAATGAGTGACTGCGTGAATAAGGCTTAGCTCAGGGATCGCTGTTCACATCATTATCATTTTAAAGCCGCAGGACTGAATGCAGATGGCTCCCAGGTGAAGAGAATGGCGGGGGCTGAGGATGGAGCCCCTGCCCCGTTCATAGCTGTCCAGCCCTTCCCAGCTCTACTGGATCTCCCCCTGGGCTCAGATGCAATCAAGGCCAGCTGTGGATCCAGGCACACGGCTGTGGTGACACGTGAGTGGGACTGGAGGGTGGTTCAGGATGGAGCAGGAAGGCACTCTACTCACTCGAGCTGGTGTCTGCAGAAAGGGGTGGGCGGCGGAGAAACTTCTGTCTTAAGGCTTCTGTGGCTCCTACAGAGCAGCTACCTCGCTCACTGGATAAGCCCCATCCCCTGTGTGGTTTCACAATAGCTCCCCAGCCTGTCAGGCCCGGAGGATTCTTCCTTCCGGAGCGAGGCTGATGCTCTCTTTCCTCCGTGCACCGCCACAGACACATTCCTCGCCCCCGCCGCCTCTGACAGCACGGCCTGCCCAGTCTGGCCTGCGCTCGGTAGCTTGGCACAGGAGTTTCCCTCGGGATACTCTACCATGCTGCATGTGATCAGCCGTTGTTAAGAGAATGTTATTCGCACCAGGTGCATCTCATGAGGATTGCAACGTGCTAGCTGTGGGCTGTGCCAAGCCAGGCTGGACAAATGCCAGCCACTGACTGTCCTTTTGCTTTCAGGAACAGGGGACCTGTACACCTGGGGCTGGGGTAAGTAAAAGGATTGTTTTTGTGACCCTGAAACCAAGGGGAGGAAAGGGCAGGTGACAAAGCCACCAAGACTAGAGGAAGCAGGGGCCTTGGCCAGGTCACTGGGAAGACCAGGGCCGCCCCGTCCCTGGGGTTGGAACAGATGTAGGCATACTCCAAGACCAGACAGGGGGACATGGAGGGGATGTCGGTGCCACCCACCTAGCTCTCTGAAACACTGAAGGAAGTGTCCAGCCAGCATTTACAAACCATCGTTTTGCGGATCCGACACTGGATAGAGAAAAAGATACAATAGAAATGTGTGCTCTGAACATCTGAACTTGGGTAGCAGGCAAGTTTGGAGTGGCTGGTCACCACTGGCCTCCTGAGGATCCCCAGGGTTACCTGGCTCTGGGTTTCCTGGATTCACAGAGCAATGGGGCACAATCCCAGTGTCTCATTGGATAGTCTGGGCTCCTTCCTGGAGGGAAAGCAGCAAGACCCAGTGGAGACATGCAAAAGGGATGGTTTCGCTTTGGGTAATTAGCTGGGCCACGAGCACACCAGCAGCTGGGATCGGCCCCGCCGAGTGGAGTACTTCATAGATAAGCAATTCTAAGTAAAGGCCATCACCTGTGGGCCCTGGAACACCTACGTGTATGCTGCGGAGAAAGGGAAGAGCTGACTTGCATATGTATATGTAAAACACCTGTGAAACTCCCACCTGGTCAAGGAAAACTCTTGCCAGCACCCAAGGACCCTGTATTTGCCTCTCTCCATCACAGTCTTCCCTTTCAGCTTCAAGCAGGGTCCTAAACTTGTCTGCTTTAGAAACAGCTGGAGAGCACTGAAAACTACTGCCCAAGGTCAGCATTGGGACAGTGAAAGCAGAGCCTCTGGGGTGTGGCTTAGATAGTGGTAGAGTCCAAGCTCCGCCCACCTCACCCAGGGAAATTTGATGTGTAGCTGAGATCGGAGCACGTTCCAGGTCATCTTCCTTTTCAGTCCCTTCCCGGTTTTCGTTTGAATTTTGCCATCCTTGTATGCATTTTTATTCAACATAGGTGTTTGCCTTTGAGTGTTAGGTAAATGGAATCGTCCTGTTTATGTGCTTTTGTGTCATTTTTGTCACTCAGCATTGTGTGAGCGATCCTTGTTGTTGGGTCCTGGAGTTCATTCATTTTTAATGCTGTATGGTGTTCCGTTGTATCAATATACCTCAAGTGATACAGTCTTGCCGATAGTCATCTTTATCGTTTCTGATTTTGGTCATTCCACGTGATACTTGGAGCAGTGCTGCACACATGTGCGCACGTTCCTCTGCAGAACATTGAGTTAAATTGCTAAGCCAAGAGATGCCTTTAATTTCACTAGATAACTTTCCCACTAGCAGTGTGGGGTTGACTGTGTCAGGTAGATGCGCGTTGATTTTAATTTGCATTTCCCTGAATACTGATGAGGTTGAGTAGCTTTTCATTTGTGTATTGGGTGGCGGGTCCTGGTGGTTCACACCTGTAGTCCCAGCAGTTTGGGAGGCTAGCGTGGATTGCTTGAGGCTGAGGTCATCTGTTGGTCGGCCACTGGAGTTTTCCGTTATGAAGCGCCTGTTCAGGTTTGCTGGCCTTTTCTTGGTGACTTTTCTTTTGTACATTTCAGATACAGTCTTTTGATGGTTAGTATTCAGAATATCTTCTGCTACCATGTAGTTTGTTGTTTCGGTCTCTCTGGGTATTATCAATTTTTATTTAATAGTTAGATGGTGCTTGTTCCATGCCAGGTAAGGCTCAAAGTGCTTTACAAATGTCAGCTTATTTTGATAAAATGTTAATTCTTTATGCTTAATTTACATTTGTGCATGTGTGTGTGGTTTAGGAAGTATTTCTCACCCATGGGATCTTTAAGCTTTTTTTTTTTTTTTTTTTTTTTGAGGCGGAGTTTCGCTTTTGTTACCCAGGCTGGAGTGCAATGGCGCGATCTCTGCTCACCGCAGCCTCTGCCTCCTGGGTTCAGGCAGTTTTCCTGCCTCAGCCTCCTGAGTAGCTGGGATTACAGGCACGAGCCACCATGCCCAGCTAATTTTTTGGATTTTTTTTAGTAGAGACGGGGTTTCACCATGTTGACCAGGATGGTCTCGATCTCTCGACCTCGTGATCCACCCGCCTCTGCCTCCCAAAGTGCTGGGATTACAGGCTTGAGCCACCGCGCCCGGCAAGCTTTTTTTTTTTTAAATTGTAAAATATACTGAACATAAAATTTATGTTCAATAAAAACAGAAAAATTATTTTAAACATTTTTAAGGATAGGATTGAGTGACATATCCATTCCGGTTGTGTAGCATCACCCCTATGCGTTTGAATAACTTTTTCATTCCATGGTGAAACTGCACATTAAACACTGAACTCCCCACTCCCCTTCCCAGCCCCTGGCATCCACGATCCTACCTTCTGTTTCTGTGACTCTGACTACCCAACGTGCATTTGTATTTTCATGACTGGCTTATTTCACCTAGCAGCATGTCCTCCAAGTTCCTCCATGATGTAGCTTATATATCTGGACTTCCTGCCTTTTAAAGGCTACGATTCTATGAAATGTATGCACCACGTTGTATTTATCCATCTGCACGTTGGTGGATAGGTGAGTAGCGCTACTGTGAATAGCGCTGCTGTGAACGTGGGTGTGCAACTGATTCTCTGCTTCCGTTCTTTTGGATATATACCCAGAGCGGAACTGCTTGGTTGTGTGGTAATTCCGTTTAATTTTTTGAGGAACTGCCCTACTGTTTTCCATAGAGGCTGCCTGATTTTACATTCCCACTAGAAGTGCACACAGATCCTAATTTCTCCACACCCATGTCAACACTGGTTTTCTATTTTTTGGTTAATAGCCATCCTAATGGATGTGAAGTGCTATTTCATTGTAGGCTTTTTTTTTTTTTTTTTTTTTGACAGGGTCTCTCCCAGGCTGGAGTGCACTTGTGATCTTGGCTCACTGCACCCTCTGCCTCCTGGGATCAAGCAATCGTCCTGAGTAGCTGGGACTACAGGCACATGTCACCACTTCTGGCTAATTTTTGTATTTTTAGTAGAGATGGGGTTGTGTCATGTTGCCCAGGCTAGTCTTGAACTCCTGGGCTCAAGCGATCCACTTGACTTAGCCTCCCAAAGCACCAGGAGAATAGGCATGAGCCATTATGCCCGGCCAAGCCACTTTTTAAAATGGGCAAAAGTTAACAAAGACGACAGAAGGATGGCAACTAAGCATATGAAAAGATAGCCTATGTCATTAGGCATTAGGGAGTTGTAAATGAAAACCAGTGAGACACCACTTCATACACAGAGTAACTAGAATTATATGAAGGCTGAACGTACCAGCTGTTGGTGAAGATGAGGAGAAACCGAAACCTTCATACATTACTGCTAGGAGTGTGAAATGGTACTGCTTTGGAAAACAGTTTGGCTTTTTTTTTGAGATGGAGTCTCACTCTGTCACTCAGGCTGGAGTGCGATAGCATAATCTCGGCTCACTGCAACCTCCCGTCCTGAGTTCAGGCAGTTCTTTTCAGCATCCTGAATAGCTGGGATTACAGGTGCACACCACTATGCCCAGCTAATTTTTGGTTTTTTTTTTTTTTTTTTTTTTTTTGAGACGGAGTTTCGCTCTTGTTACCCAGGCTGGAGTGCAATGGCGCGATCTCGGCTCACCGCAACCTCCGTCTCCTGGGCTCAGGCAATTCTCCTGCCTCAGCCTCCTGAGTAGCTGGGATTACAGGCACGTGCCACCATGCCCAGCTAATTTTTTGCACTTTTAGTAGAGACGGGGTTTCACCATGTTGACCAGGATGGTCTCGATCTCTCGACCTCGTGATCCACCCGCCTCGGCCTCCCAAAGTGCTGGGATTACAGGCTTGAGCCACCGTGCCCGGCCTGGTTTTTTTTTTTTGAGACAAGAGTTTCTCTCTTGTTACCCAGGCTGGAGTGCAATGGCGCGATCTCGGCTCACCACAACTTCCGCCTCCTGGGTTCAGGCAATTCTTCTGCCTCAGCCCCCTGAGTAGCTGGGATTACAGGCACGTGCCACCATGCCCAGCTAATTTTTTATATTTTTAGTAGAGACGGGGTTTCACCACGTTGACCAGGATGGTCTCGATCTCTTGACCTCGTGATCCACCCGCCTCGGCCTCCCAAAGTGCTGGGATTACAGGCGTAAGCCACCACGCCCGGCCTAATTTTTATATTTTTAGGAGAGACAGGGTTTCACCATGTTGGTCAGGCTGGTCTCGTACTCCTGACCTGGTGATCTTCCCACCTCGGCCTCTCAAAGTGCTGGGATGACAGGTGTGAACCACGTACCTGGCCCAGCTTGGCATTTCTTAAAAAGTTAACTGTATACCTACCATAGATGTGATCCAGCAGTTTCACTCCAAGGTATTTATCCAGAAGAAAAATATATATACATACAAAGACTTGTATATGAACATGTCTAGCAGCCTTGTTTTTTAATAGCCAAAAACTGTAGAAAAGCCAAATGTGAAAAATCTCATAGACGAAAAAAAAATGGTGTTTCTACACCATGGAATACTAAGCAAAAAAAAAAAAAAAAAAAAACAACTGTGGATATAAGAAACAGTATGGGTCAAACTCAAAGCAGTGAAAGAGCAAGACCAAAAAAGTATATGCTGTGTGATTCCACTTACATAAAACTGTAGGAAATGCAAACTCATCTGTAGTAACAGCAAGAAGTCAGTGATTGCTGGGCAGGGCGCGGCTGGGCAGGAGGAATAAGAAACGACCGGGAGGAAACTTCTGGGATGGAGATGCTTGGTGACTTGACGGTGGTGGTGGTTTTTCTGTTTTAACCTTCACAGGCGTACAGTTTCTGTCCATCTTCCCTCAGTAACACTGTTGACTCCCCCATTGAGACAACAGGCATTGAAGCCAGAAGCTTCCTAGGACTCCCTCTGCTCTTTACACATTAGGGGTTAGATTTTTTATTTCCCACAGAAACTTCTGTGAATAAGGTATTTTTAACTTAGGAATGTACCAGAAAAGATTTTAAAAAGTCACACTTGGCTGGGTGCAGTGGCTTAC